ACAGAGGATTCAGCTGAATATGAATAGAATTGGTTGATAGACCAAAGTGAGAGATTAACATAGGAATGACTACCTATGACTGGGACTCAACAGAGTAAATGATTGAAACAGTTTAACAAGGCCTTTAATATGAAATATTTGACTGACCCACGAGTACTGCATGTTATTTTCTCATGAACAGAGACTGTATGAGCAATGTGCACTGTTCTTCAGTCTATTTGATGTGGTAAACATTCCTTGTGGGAGAGTGATATGTTGTATGGTACATTGGTGACGACCAATTGGGATTGTTGGATATTCCTTCACTAGGGAGAGATATTGACTCCTTATGATAAGGAGCAGGAACAGAGTATTTGAAATGAGGAGCGTATTTGATTGTTGATGTTCAAAAGGACCATTCATCTTCACACTTAAGGTGATGATGACACTACTGACGAGGTGGAACTCAATACCACTGACGATATGTGTTTTAGATACCTATGGGTTTCTTTGGGGTAGTACCTTTAGTCATTAGAAGGGAGAAATCTTGACGTATGAACAGACACAGTATCATACATTGGTAATAAAATAGACTTCCAAAGGATAGAAATACTCAAATACTACACAGCTTTTAAGGTACAGACATTACACTACTACTATGTCTCTATGATGTTACCAGTAACGTCCAATGGCAGAAACACTCAACTTTATCAAGAAAAGTCATTCAAAAGAGTGTCTTCAAGAGCCATAAAGTTAGTAAAGGAGAATAAGATAATTTACATATACCCAACTGACTCTATCTTAATGAATAGCTGCACTCTGATTGGGGACATGCAATGGATATCAAGAACTTCATATCTCACATATGGATGCTTATTTGTACTCATAATTTTATTCATTTTCGTTTCCACTGATATATGGAAGTGAACAATATCCAATACTTATTCATGAGTTAGGTAGTCTTTCTGCTCCACCACCTTGTTGAACAGTAACACAAACAAGACATAAAGTTAATTTAACCTTCAGTTCCATCAAGACAGGAGAACTTTGTGATGACTTTCAAGTTTCATTTTAAAAGCTGATGTGACTTTGAATAATCTAATTCATTTTATAAACTTACGTGAACTCAGACGTACTAGTGTCCTCATGTATAAATGATTCCATATTGTATTCTGATGTTGCATGCTTTGTACATTTATAATCTGGATGTATAATATGGTGTTGTAAAACTATCATGATTTGTAAAGAAAAAAACAGAAGAAAATGTTCAAGAATCCAAACTTTCGATATTTGATTTGATTTGTAATACCTATAATGTTTGCATTTATTATACTCAATCATCAATTGCTACTTTAAAATGTTATTTGCTCTAACATGTCTTCTACACTTCTCAGATAGGTACAACCTAAGACAGATCCTATCTGAGACACTTACCTGTATACCACTGGAATAAAGTAACTGTGCATCATTTGATGTGCCATTTTTTTAATGCAAAAATATAATAATAACATGATTTGTGGTGTTTTCCTTAATCGCTGTTTAACTGTTGACAGAGTAATAACAAAATCTATACGATTTGGCACGAGGCATATTGACACCCACTTGAAGAGATGTGGTATCAAAAGTCAGTTCACAATTTCAGTATTGTTCGTGTACCCCATTGGCATTAATGCAGGTTTGACAATGAAGATGCATAGACGACACTAAGTAATTGATAAAAACTTGTTGTTCCATGTCTGAACCAACACTTGTCCCAATTCAGCTAACATCAATGGCTGATTCAGGGCTTGACGTAAATGTCGCTCCATTTCATCCCAAGAGTGCTTGATAGGGGACAGTTCTGGAGAAGCAGCTGGCCAGGGGAGTACCAGAATGTTCTGCTGTCTCAGGAAATCTGTCACAACACGAGCAACATGTGGGTGGGCATTATCTTGCTGAAGTGTGAAGTTAAATCTCTGTCCTTGAACGAATGGCTGCATATGAGGCCCAATGATCTCATCTCTGTATCACTGATCTTTCAGATAGCCATTGACAATGACAAGTTGTGTCTGATCATGTAATGTGTCCTGCCCTCCATACCATAACGTTGGTGCCACTAAATGATCGACATAGAACACTACACGTGTAACCATATCTTTCACCTCTCTGTCTGTTATTTCAAAGTTGGTGTTTCAAAATAACATTCATGCTTTTCAATGAGGTATTAGCAGCTGCTTGATGCATAACTTCATAAAATACTTAAAATGCATTATCAATTATAGTTTCAAATGAAATTTGGTATGATTTAATAAATAGTGCTTTCTTAGTACATGTATGGCATAATTATACATCTGACTTCTCTGAACAGTTTGAATTAAATATGTAAATTTATGCAATAAATCAAAATCCTTGGTGAATATTGATGATAGATTTGTCAATGGTTAATGTTTTACAGCTGTTGACAGCTTTCAACATTTTCAGATATGTTAATTGTTGTTAATGATATCTTTTGTCTATTTATTCTCCCAAATGGTAATGGGTAAAGACTTATAATCAGTCATATGGAAAACTATGTATCTGACATAATGATTTAATACAAATATGAAAATATATGGATAGATGTTTCACATTGTCTTGCTAAAATATTCATAAAATACAATTTGGATTAACTATTTTATTTCTCAACAGTAGATTTTGGTTTTGTGAATTATTTTCAGTCACAAATATCTGGGGTTAGTTATGCTGTTGAGGTAACAATATATTTATCAGAAAATGTTATCATTTGATTAAAATCAACAGAGCAGATGCGTTATATTTTCTGTTAAAGTAAATGGAAATGCTCTTTTCCTGGGTTTCTAAGCAATGACATTGTACTTAGGCTACAGAACAGGTGCTATCTTAGTAATGATGACCTTGATGCCCCAGTCAAAAACAGGTTACACCTCCTACTCAATATATAATTATGTATAATTTGGGTTTTTGGTATTGATTTTTTAAACATCATTACAACAATATTATTCAGGGTCTGATATGATGATTTTACATTACTTCATCAAGTTGCATGACATGAACAATAAAGGTCACACTTTCAATCACTGTCTGTGCGTTCATCAGTCACTGCTCCATGCCAGTTCCTCATCATTATGTTTCCTGTCTAAAATCTGTGTTCCTTGAACAGCAAAATATGAACATGGACAGGGGGCAAGTAGTATTAAATATGAGGTGAGGTGAGGTGAAATTGGGTTTAACGTCGTGCTTGAGAATATTTCGCTCATATGACGACGTGCATGCGTGTGTATGTATGTGTATGTGAGGCTGCTTGTACTAGCCCAGACTTAAGCTGGTTTTATAGTGCTAGCCCACTGAGATACCATGCCGCAGTGAAGCATGAATACCCCACTCAGACACATTATACTGACTCCGAGCCGACCAGTCCTTGTTGTACCCATAAATGCCGAGCCCCAGGCAGGAACCAACAAGTACCATATTTTAACGTCTTTTGGTATGACGCGGTCGGGGGATCGAACCCGCGACCTTCCGGTCTGCGGGCGGACGCTCTAACCACTACACCACGGAGGCGGTCCTTAAATATGAGGTTCCATTTGGCAGTTTAAGGTTACACCAGTGATTGTGTGTATGTTCATATTATTTTGGACTCTGTCCGTGCGTCCGTCTGTGTGTGCGTCCGTCCATCCGTGCAAGTTTGCAGAACTTGAAAACCTTTTAAGTCTTCTCCTTCCTCTTTGCTCTATAGTTGTTGACTTGGTTGACACATGTCATTGTATCCCAATTGCATAGATAGATGCTCATGCTGTAGATCACTGGATTGTCTTGTCCAGATTGATTATTTGCAGACCACCGCCATATAGCTGGAATATTGCTGAGTGTGGCGTAAAACTAAACTCACTCACTGCTATATACATGCCAAAACATTTGACATGGTCATAACTAGTTGACATATTCATGAAGAGTATTTGGAGACTGCAGGGGATATTGATGACTTTGTCTTCTTGTTTGCCAACTCTTGCATATTTTGCCTCGGTACGTGCTTCCAGTTTCTTTAAGGATGGTTACAGTTATAAATATTGTGAATATTTTTCATGATCTGCAATTGAATCATTTGGCAATTGAATCATTTTGTTAGGATGCGTATAAGTTCAGATTCTGCTTACGAACCTGTTTGGCCTTAAAGAAAAAATGTTGTGGTTCTGATTAGCCGACCGACCCTTGAATTCTGGTGCCGACCCTTTTTTTTTAAGCGGACTGAATAAAAAAAATCTTTCAGATAAAAATTGTTTTTTCCCAGCTGCGATAGATATCGGTCATTCTCATAGAGAAAGTCGACATGATGGCCGCAAGCTTGCTTGAATAAATAATTACACATCGATACATGTGTTATTAGTTTGTACATTCCTTCTAAAACAAATATGCAAAATTAAAAAATTCCTACCTACCTACCCTAAATTTTAAAGGGTGTATTCGGAACCACAACAATTTTTTTCTTTTGGCCTTTTTTCAAATATTCATCTGGTCTTGTCACCTAAAAATCGCCACACTCTCACATGTCACTAATCGATCTTAGCAAAAATAGTTAAATATATGAAACAGATTTCAATAGATTTTCAGTATCACGATACATGTTGTTTGATTCACCACCTTTGCCATGATTGTTCCTATCCATCTAATCGGTGATGTAAGTTAGATTGTTTTTTTTAATGATTAATCAAACTGAAAACTGAACCAGAGAACAAAAATATTGATCAAATTATGAAAAATGATTATATTATGAAGAAAATATCAGACTGTGTGCCGAGATATTTGGCAAATACATTTTTGTTTTGTGGGCTTTTCGTTTTAAGGTACATAAACTACTTAAAGTCAAATGACACATTATTCCTATTTGGTAAATCGTTATTGTAAGTTTTATTTGGGTATGTGATTATGATAATCTCCCGTCAAATGCATTCGACAGCAGCATTGTAAGGATTAAAGCGACATTTTCAATTCATGTAACACTGCTTTGATTGTTTTCATTTATACAGAAAAGAAAGAATGGAAGTTCCGCAAAAAAGACCGCAATAGAGACTATGGGTAAAAACGGACAAATGTCAAAATTCAAACATTTTCTGTCTCCTCCACAAGATGACACTGATGATGATGATGAAGATGAAGATGAAGATGATGAAAGTAGTGTTGACATTAATGAAGACGATCTGGACAGTGATGACATATTAAAAGATTTAGCTGATGATAGCAGCGATGATGATGATGATGATGATGATGATGATGATGATGACAAAGACAACAATGGCAGTGATGAAGATGTCAGTAATGATGATGATGAAGATGATGATGATGATGATGACGACATTAGTGATGAAGGTAATGAAAGATTTAATTGCACTGGTTTGTGGTTTATGATGCTTTGGAGGATATAATCCAAAGAAACCCTTTATAATTCTTTTCACAAGGTCCCAAAACATCATTCTTTCATTGTCAAAGTCATGAATTCACCTGGCACATACAGAAGTTAACCCTCTGTACATGGGAAGTGGTGGTTGCCTAGTGCTTAAAAAATTGACTTCACAGTTAATACTTGGAACCTAATTCCTCAATAAAAAAATGTTTGAAGCCTTTTTCTGGCATTATACTAAGCTATCACAAGAAAAAAAATGGTGATTTCCAAAAATTTCCAATTTGGAAATATCATATTTCCAAAATTGGAAAGATGATGTTTCCAAGGTTTGGAAATTTTTGGAAATTTAGGAAGGATTTTACCACTACTTCTTTCAATTTCTCCTTTTTCCCAAGGATCCCCGGACCATGAGTGTATAGACTGAACTATTTCACGAATCTTTTGATCTGTTAGAGTTCTTATTGTTGATATATATAATGTATCTTGCATGTGACATATTTATTCATGAAAACTGCAGGAATAAGCCATATTTTCATATTATCCCTTTGTGCTTGATATCAATGCAACTGCCTCTCACGCCTGAAGTGATACATTTTTTAAAGTTGGGATTATGTTTAGAGTATGTGTTTACTATTCGCCGTCCTATGCGACCAACTAGGAACCAATTCTATATATTAGTTTAACTTCACTCATCTGCATTCTTCTTGTTCTATGTGTCAAAAATTGACATTGACTGTTCTATTTACCGCTAGTATGGCGAGCATTTTCAAAAGTCAGTTTCAAGTGTATGTTTTAGTTGTTATCCACAAAAGCGCAAATATGTTTAATTTTTTCCCCCTCTCAATGTTCGTATGAATAGAAATTCCATACACCTACGCTATATGGACTATATAACAGTGTACCAGATATACTGACTGAGTGTATTACATGCCATAAAAGTGAACCCGTGCCATGGCGTAATAGGGTATTCCCGTGAAGTAGGATTTTGTTATTACAGTATGATCTCATTCATGTTGCGTCGGTGTTGTTATACGGGATTAAGACACTGGGTGCTATAAAATTCTGAACTTGTTTTGAAATATGATCGAATTTACTGAGTTAATTTACTGAGTTTAGCTCACTGAGATTATAATGATACTGATTCATGTGTTCACTCAACGTCTACGGGGATGATACGTTCTACGTCTCGCCAAAGTTATTGATTAATCTACTAATATCTAACAAAGTGCTAGAGTTTTGGGTGACCTTCGTAGGGTCAGTAATAAGTTGAAATAGTCATACATGATTTAAAAATTATGTATCTTATTATTACTTGGGGTGTTGGCATGGCAGATTTAAGAAGATCGTTGAAAAGGCCCTCCAAATGATAGTTGAGATATATTTCACATGATGTTTCATCTTGTGATGATTAATTGTGGCAACACCAAATATATTATCATGTCATGAAAATGTCAGATATCACTTTAGGCTTATTTCATTTCTTTACCCCTTCAACTTTTCGTATAAACCTTGTGCCTGTTAAAACATTAACTGGCCTTTGTTCGAGATCACCAGGTCTTGGAGGTAATCACCCTATGTTTTTACAATTCTGCTTCATGGGAACTAACCGTAGTAGAATACATTCTCCAATTAACACCTGTCACAAGGGAGAGGCCATTTGAGTTTGTGCTCAATAACGGTGTTATGCAATTGGCGTATTCACGAAAATCTCATGAACTTGTCAATAGAAAATTGGTTGTGTTGTCCAAACATGTACGGATAGAAGCAAATACTCAAATGATTTCCCTTTTTACTGAATCATAAGTGTATCTAGATTAATGTGATCATTTACAAGAAATCAAGAGAAATCAGCCCACAAGCTCACAGATGATTCCAGAGACAAATATACATTTGAAAGATTCCAGTTTAGACAAGACATTAATTTCATAATAAGCCAGCCAATAGACTTTATGTTAATATCCCAGTTACAGTTATTTTGAAGGGTCAAGTCTAGATGCTTGTGATTATCTATGTCTTGAATTATCACACAGCTCATTGTAAGGTCAGGTTGGATGCTTCTGTTAAGTTTTCTACTAAACTGTAAACTAGGTTTGTCGCTGTGGTGACAATTATATACATGTGTTAAAACCAGCAATGAGAACACAACGCCATGCCAATAGCAACTCCATGCTTGTTTGATAGGTATTCTTGTCGATGCATAGAGAAGGGTTCCCATATTCATTCTTGTATCATTATCGAAATAAAGGGTAGGTTAGACATTTGGGTCAAGGTAAAAATCGTTTGATGTTTGATGTTTTGACAACAGTGTTGTTTTAATGGATTCTACAAGATGAAAAAAACGTGTTCACTCAAGGAAAGAAATAAGACATGTATACCAGACTACCAGTATGAGATTGAATCCATGTTAGTGAGTTCACACAGTCACTTTGATTTATAAATTAGTTCACTCAATTCATAAGTTGTGAGTTATTCATTTTCTTGCAAAAACTTGCTATAAGAATTTTGGAAATGACAGTTTTCACCATTATTTCCACAAATTCAGTTATGGTAAATGCACAGTTAGACTAGAAGTTTCTTCCTAATTTTCGTGGTTGAAGATATCTATGTGTAAATGGTAGTACCGGTAAATGTTCATTCTGAACAAGAGGAAAAGGAGAGAATGGATCTCATGGAGATGCAGTCAGAAAGACTGCAGAGCAACAGTCTCAACATTGAACGACATAATGTCTAAAATTCCTGGAGACCACAACCACGGACCAGTACACAACGAAGTCAAGGAAAATCAAATCTCAAACAGATTGTAACAAAAATAACGAATATTTTTTTTTAAAAAAAGGTAAGAAGTATTCCTAACGTTATGTTAAAGGTCACATGCAACGTAAAACACAACTTTGCAGATTCTGATACCTTTCGTTATGGACTTACCGAAACAAATCATCAAAAATGCAAATTCAACTTATAAATTTGAAAAATAACGCGATGAAAAAAACCACACGAAATCGGAGTTCAAACAATTCACTAATTTTCCCCAGTGCTTGGACCGCCTCCGTGGTGTAGTGGTTAGAGCGTCCGCCCGGAGAACGGAAGGTTGCGGGTTCGATCCCCGACCGCGTCATACCTAAAGACGTTAACATATGGTACTTGTTGGTCCCTGCCTGGCGCTCGGCATTAATGGGTACAACAAGGACTGTTCGGCTCGGAGTCAGTATAATGTGTCTGAGTGGGGTATTCATGCTTCACTGCGGCATGGTATCTCAGTGGGCTAGCACTATAAAACCAGCTTAAGTCTGGGCTAGTACAAGCAGCCGCACATACACATACATACACACGCATGCACGTCGTCATATGAGCGAAATATTCTCAAGCACGACGTAAAACCCAATTTCACCTCACCTCACCTCACCCCAGTGCCTGGGGGAAAAGTGGTTTCAACAGCTGGGCTGCGCTCATAGCACATGCGCAGTGAAACAGGTTCGCGCAGCGGGTTGTCTGGTGAATACTCGGTGAAGGCTTTGGTGTGAGCTATTTTTTTTTAATGTTTTGTTGATATTTCACAGGCGCGAGATTTTTATATGTTATACCAGTAGATTACCGATTTAACTGTTTATATAATTTCATTTGTCTATTTCACCACACGTTCTTCTTACCGAGTCACTTTCTCAGTTTGATACTTAAAAGCAATGTCATTATTTAGCGTTGACAGAATATCTAACTGTGACACAGATATGTCGTTGTCACAGACAAAACTCAGTGTCTGTTTTATTGACACCTACGTGTCTGCCTGCCTGTCTGCTAATGACAATATTCAATACACAACTTCGATCACTGACCACATGCAATTTGAACTTAACACCTATCAGGCTATACACCATAAACAAAACGCATTGATTTATGGCCCGAGTTCGGTCTCTGTCACATTATGTAATTACAAGGACAGGCAGGTGTGATACTTGTACACATGACATGTTATGATGTCTGTTGATTGCAAATTGTTGTACACAAGAAAATGAGCATGTATTTACGGTTCATTGCCGGGAAGGCTAAAATCGTCACGCTTCTCGGTTCAATGAGCGTAGCCTTCGCGGTACTTACAATGCAATGTTATGGTTGAATGAACATGGGGCGCCTCACTCGGAGGCTCTGACAAATTACAAAGAAAACAGGATTAACGTGGACGCTCTTTAATTTGGGCACATACAAAAATATTAATACAGCTATACGTTTTCATTTTCAGTATTCATTTTCTTGAATTCGACATTAAATTGTCATTATCCATAGTAAATCACATTTCTGTCAATCTACGTCAAGCTTAAGACAATTTGAGACATTCTGACACGTGGTCTGTGTAGGCGATGTCCCCGGTGATGTTGTTCAAAGGGCCCTTCAGGATTAAGTTAACTCTAACCTGCGCACCTGCCATCACGGACATGTGTATGATAGTTCGGTGTCAGTTTGCAACTTAAATATTATAGCAATGTTTTTCGAATTAAATACATCTGAAATAAAAACGCCACTTAAATACAGGTCTAAACAAGCGAAGAAGATAAAGATGCCTGCTCCATATTGAAGTTGGAAGATACCATAATGTACCTAGGGAAGAAATAATATGCGTCCATTGTTTATCTTTAAATCTTAATCGAATAGAAGTCTGGTTCAAGTCTTAATAAAGTCTATGTTCTATTCTGTTCTGATAAATACTCTATTATAACAATGTTTTGAAAAGAAATGTATCTACTCCCGGCATGGATTATGCTTCCCGGCACCGTATCTTTAGCTTTGACGATACTCCCCTAATTAGCTCTCCCGGGAAATTCCGAAATACAATGTATACATTTTAGCCTTCCCGGGACATCTGAAAAATAAATTTTAGCCTTCCCGGTACGACACCGTATTTACAAAACCTAACATCTCTATAAGTATATTGTGGGGTACATCGGCAAATGAACCAGCCGTTACACTTGAGTGC